AATAAAATAAAGTAATTTAAGATTAAAACTCTAATTATTTTTAAAAATCAAAATTGGTTTACACTGTTTCTCTAAACTTATATATATAAGTTCATATTATAAGTTAGAAATTAAAATATATATATATTTATTTAACAAATTAATTTTAAAAAATTAAAAAATATATTTTTTTTTAATTTAAAGACGAAAATATGCAAAGAATAGTTTATTTAACCACTAAAAAAATTAAAATTAAAAGTTTAGGATTAAAAAATGACATTTAACCAGAATCATTTCAGCCCATGGACCATGAGTCCATGACCCATCCCAATTTTTAAAAAGAACCGAAGCGGCCCATAATTACAGAACGGATCTTGTAAGCAAAAAGAGAAAAATGGGAAAAAAACCACTCCACTTATCGCCAAGATGAAGCATGAGCTTCTTCGATGGAATCCATGCCACTACTCTCTGCTTCCACCTTCCTTTCCCCGACTTTCTTTCAAAATCTCGAGAGCCAAACAGGCTTTTCGACCTCAAATCTATGCTTCTATAGATTCTGCCGGTACTCAGCAGGAGCTAACGGCGAGGGAGAGGAGGCAGCTAAGGAACGAGAGGAGGGAGAACAAAGCAGTGTATAATTGGAGAGAAGAAGTCGAGGAGCGGCTGATGAAGAAGCCGAAGAAGCGGTACGTGACTCTGGCTGAAAAACTCAATCTTGATACCTTGGCTAAATTGGGTCCTCAATGGTGGGTGGTACGCGTCAGGCGGGTTCGGAGCCAGGACACTGCTGAATTGATTGCTCGTTTGCTGGCGAGGAACTTCCCTGACCTTGAATTTAAGGTAAAATTTTCATCTTTGAAGAAGAAAGTTGTGAATTCTGGTTGTTAATGTTTGGAATCTTGAAGGGCACACCCCACATCTACTTGGTGCATTCCTTATGTGCTGGCCTCAAAACTTGAACCATGAATCTAGATACCAGACGAAACTTGCTTGCCCAGATAGGGATTAGTCTCAAGGTGTAGAAAAGTTGGCCAGGGACATCCTGACCTGACTTGACTGTAAATACCAAAAAAATGTTTGGAATTTTTTGTATAAGATGCTAAAAAGGGGAAAAAAATACTAATAATTAAGAAATTAGAATGTAATGTAGTCTGATTATTCAGGGCGTTTATTTTTCAGGTTTATACTCCAGCTATCCAGGAGAAGAAGAGATTGAAAAATGGTTCTTACTCAATTAAACCAAAACCACTTTTTCCAGGGTGTGTTTTCTTAAGGTGTGTATTGAACAAAGAGATACATGACTTCATAAGGGAGATTGAAGGCGTTGGAGGTTTTGTGGGATCCAAGGTTGGAAATGCGTGAGTGTTTACTTTTGTTCTTTAAAATTCTCAAGGCCTGCTAGAACAATGTGTTTATCATTATAGGTTAATTTATTAATTATTATGAAGACTTGTGCTAAGCGCTTAAGATGACAAACACTCGCCTATATGGTAGGTGTTTTTGCAATACCCATGTTGGTGTTATATTAAGCTTGTATAACTGTAGAAGACATGTAGGAAAACTTTAGGATAGTATTTTAGGGGTGTATGCAGAAAGTATGCTGAGAACTGAATGAAGAAAGATCATGATCTCCAGATATCTTCTTAGATTATTTTTTCTGACTATATGAATTGAGAATATGCTTATGTTCAAACCGAAAAAGAGAGCACAAATGGTTAAGAATTATTTTCTCTTCTTGAAATTGGAAATTTATGATTGATGTTGCCCACCTTACGGTTTGACTGAGTGTGTGATTAACTCCCACTCTTGATGTAGAAAGAGACAAATAAATAAACCTAGGCCGTTGTCTGTTGATGACATGGAAGCAATCTTCAGGCAAGCAAAAGAAGAACAAGAGAAGGCCGATCAAGCTTTTATAGAACAAGAACAAGGTGTAGGAGCTGGCAACTCTGTGAAGCAAAATCCAGAACCTGATTTAGATTCCAATGATGTTTCAAAATCTGTTTTGGATTCAAAACCAAAACGACAAACAAGAAAAGCTTCCGATCCCATTGAGAATATAGCTAAGGATGCTAAACGGCTCTTGCCAGGTTCAAAAGTTCGAGTTGTTTCTGGGACTTTTGCAGAATTTGTAGGCATCCTGAAGAAATTGAATCGGAAAACTAGAAAGGTATGCTTCTATATGGTGAATGATTTAAGCTTCATAAGTCAATTTCAAGAGTAGTGTCTGCAAGCAACTCCAAAGGATCCTAGAAACCAATTTTGCGGCCTTAACTAATTTAAAGAGTTATTCTTCCAGCTCTAGTACTGATGTCCCTATGACTACCTGCTTAATCTGAACAAAATTTTGACCCAGAGAAATATTTTTTGCAGGTAACTGTAGAATTTACACTATTTGGGAAAGAGACTTTGGTAGACTTAGATGTTAATGACATTGTTATGGAGGCAAACTGATATAAATCCGCTCATTCCTGATTGTAACTGATAACTAGTAAGTTCACTTTTTCCGTGATATTTATTATTTACTCAATCTTTTTGGTGGGTATTTCTTCACTTATGGAATGCATTGTGGAAGCCATAACATATCCTTTCATGTTTGCTTGTTGGTTTTTGGGTTATTCTTTGTTGCTTGTTCATGTGTATGATTCTTTTTG